AAACAGGGCTGGGGATGTGACTCAGTGGTTAATGTCCTGGAGTTCAATCCCTGGTACTAAAAAAAAAAAAAAAAAGAGAGAGAGAGAGAGAGAAGAAAAAAGAAATTTTTATAGCTGAATTTCTTTTTTAAAATTTTTTTTTAGTTGTAGATGAACAAAATATCTTTATTTCATTCATTTATTTATTTTTTAAAATATTTATTTTTAGTTGTAGTTGGACACAATACCTTTATTTATTTATTTTTATGTGGTGCTGAGGATTGAATCCAGGGCCTTGCATGTACGAGGTGAGCATTCTACTGCTGATCCACAACCCCAGTCCCTCATACATTCATTTTTTTATGTGGTGCTGCAGATCAAACCCAGTGCCTCACCTGTGCCAGGGAAGCACTCCACCACTGAGCCACAATGCCAGCCCTAGGTGAATGTTTTTTAGCAAACAAAAAATAGCTTTCAAAAATGAGAAGGTAGGGGGGACTTCCGGCCACGGAACCGCGCTCACCTCAGGGGCCACCCTTACTTGTGGAGATGCTTCAGCATCATAAGGACCTTGTGAGGCAATCATTCTGACTTTTGAGAAATACTGATGCTGCTTCCAAAAGCCTCCCCTGCTTCATCCTCCTATTTTTCAGTCTACTAATATGGTCTTACATACCAAGACCAAATCTTGCTTGGTCGACCAAGCAAGATTTATGCAGGGGAAACCGATCAAGGACTAGACCTCCAAATCTGTCAGAAGTTGAACAGGAATGGACCATCAATCCCCACTCTGCATACATGCCATTTCCTTTTGAAGATTCCCGGTCAAGTCTGCTTGCTGGCAGTGGTAAATGATCCCAGGACTTTGGACACCCGATGGTCTGATGATGGGATTAATACCTCCTGACATACTTATACCCTAGCACAGCATACTAGGAGGGAGAAAACTGATCACCTATGGTCTCAACACTCCAAAAGCAATCATTTAGCCCTCTAGTTTGCCCCTTTAAATAAAATTACTTAGAAATATTATAAACCTAAAAAAAAAAAGAGAAGGTAAATTTCTCATGCCAGTGTCCTTAGGATCAAATCAGCTATGTGAAGAAAACAATATTTGCCTTTAAATGCTATTTATAGACCACTCCCCCACTCACAATTATGCAATTCACTTTTTAAAATCATCACAAAACTTTTATGAAGAACCCACAGGTAAAACAGAGTAAAGCAAAGGCATATAAGGTCCACACAAAATGTCTCTCAAAAGAAATGAAATGAAAGGAATTACAATGGTGAGGATGATTATGTAATAAAAGAGAAATATGGAAAGGATTTTAGGCCTCCCCCTCAAAAACCAAACCAGGSCTGGGGCTGTAGCTCAGTGGCAGAGCACCCACCTTGCACATGTGAGGCACTGGGTTCAATTCTCAGCACCACATAAAAATAAATATACAAAATAAAGATTAAAAAAAAAAAAAAACCCAACAGGACCATGAAATCTAGAGGATGGGATCTAGAGGGATGTTAAACTCGATGATGTTGGAATTTGCTTTTAAAATCTATTTTTCCTGGCTCTAATAAGAACTGAGTTTTCTAAGAAACATACTGGCAGAAACAATTTGAGGGCCAAATCCAATTACCTCAGAGTTATTCTCCTTTTAACAGTAAGTTCTGATCCATGCTCCATAGGTCAAGAGCACCATTCAAACTTCTCTTTGCCCCTTTTGAACCGTACTTCATCGCTGCCTCCTGCTTGTTGTAGGCCTTCTCGTAAGACGCCAAGGGGCAGAGATTCCGGTCTCCACACAATGGCCCACCATTCAACCCGATTCTGCTTTGTCCCTAAACATTCATTCCCCTTGGCTCCTGCTGGGCCTGTTATATTCAGATATGAACTTTCCAGGAACCTGATCATGTCACAGGCCTTTTCCTGTATGACAAATTCAGTGCTAATCATGAACAGTGGGCTTTACACAGAGAGTTAGTATTAATCATGAAAAGTATGACTCCACATCCAGAAATAGGGCAACACTGGCCTAAAAGAGGCAAACTGCATCTCTGTTAAATCCACCAGGGTATTACCAAGGTCTCTTGCTGCAGAGAGCACTAGGGGTTTTCCTCATCTGTGTTAAGCAGACACACTGGAAGCACAATATTCTTCCAGATTCCAGGTCTGAGGTTTGGCTTAATGGGGAGCGCCCTGGTGACCACAAGGTGAACCAAAGGGTTTTCCAAAGAACCAAAGCTAGACACCACTTACCCTCCAACCCCACAATGAGGTGCTATTCTTTTTTTTTTTTTTTTTTTTTTTTAAGAGAGAGTGAGAGAGGAGAGAGAGAGAGAGAGAATTTTTAATATTTATTTCTTAGTTCTCGGCGGACACAACATCTTTGTTGGTATGTGGTGCTGAGGATCGAACCCGGGCCGCACGCATGCCAGGCGAGCGCGCTACCGCTTGAGCCACATCCCCAGCCCCGAGGTGCTATTCTTATTCCCAACTTTTACAAGTCTCTTTACCTAGAGCATTTGAGAAGGTTATCAAAGTGCAATAAAAAAATGGAAAAAAATATTTAATTTTTTTCTTTGGGTCAGTGAGGAATATTTGGCAAATATTACAAATTAGAGATATGCTAGGTGGTTTGTATTATTTTGCTATAATTTACTCTTTTGGAACCTAGTTTCAATGACCACATGAATCAGCTCCTACTGGCCCAAATTATATTTTATAAATGTGAGTTAAAGATTATCTTTCCACATAAAAGTGCCCAGATTGAAATCCCCTCTTCGTCATTCCTGAGAGAATGACACAGGCTGGTAGTAAAAGACCATCTTTGTGTAGAACAAATGGACCGAGGAAAATCTACTTTCCTCTCCCCTGCCCCTTTCTTCTTTATACAACTAGAGCCAGACGGAATGAGATGTTTTTTCATTTTAGAAATTTGATTAAGCAGACTGGGCAAAAGCCCACTCTTCTGGTCTTTACAGTTTTCTCAATTTGGGGACTGAATTAAGGCACACTCAAGTTGGAAGATGGTGAAGCGGGGTCTCGGGCCAGGCAGTAGTGGCATTCGAGTTAGGGAAAGCAAGAGCTGGCCTGCAGCAGCTTCAGCAGCCCTTTCTTTTTCCTTGAAGCATGAGAATGCAGACTGCTGCTCAGGGCCTGAGGGAGAAGGGGCCCAGGGCCCAGGTCCCCTGCAAACCGCCCTGTCACTCTATGTGCACATGCCTCTTGATCTGAGCAGTGAGAGAGCTGCAGGGCAAAGAAAAATATGAAACAACAAGGAAAAAATAAGCTCGCAGACTTGTTAGGAATGAACTGTCTTTTTCTTCAGCTTTAGGACTCTGTTCCTAAATTCCCTGTTTAAAAATATATTCTAGGGCTGGAGGTACAGCACAGTGAAGTGGGTTCYACCCCTAGAGCCAAACACACACAAAATATCAAAAATTTGTATATATTCTAAATACTACATTATTAAATTTTTTATATAGTTGTCCCTCTGTATCCTCAGGTTCTATACCTGACGGTCCCACATTCATGGATTCAACCAACCATGGATGAAAAACATTTTGGGGAAAAAAAAACTGCATCCACAGTGAATATGTACATTTGTTTTCTTGTCATTATTCCCTAAAYAATACAATATAACAACTACCTATACAACATTTACATTGTATCAGGTATTATAAGTAATCTAGAGATAATTTAAAAGCATACAGGAGAATGTATATAGATGATATGCAAATACTATACATCTTATATAAGGAACTTGAGTGTCCATGGATTTTGGTACCTGTTGGGGCTCCCAGGACCAGTCCTTCTCAGAGACTGAGGGATAACTGTAGCACCAGATTCATTTTAGTTTCCATACTTTAAACCTTCTGAAACATCTTTCTACAATATTTTCTATCTTGTTTTTCTTTTGTTTTGTTTCTACATTGTTTTAAAGATTATTTTGCTGGGCAGGGTGGCACATGCCTGTAATCCCAGTGGCTCAGGAGGCCGAGGCAGGCAGATCACAAGTTCAAAGCCAACCTTTGCAGTTAGTGAGGAGCTGAGCAACCTAGAGAAACGCTGTCGCGAAACTAAAATAAAACAGACTGGGGATGTGGCTTAGATTTGTTAGGTATGAACTGGGTTCAATCCCTGGTACCATACTAAGTAATGATAATGATAATGATGATGATGTTGTTTCTTTTTAAATATTTTTTTAGTTGTAGATGGACACAATGACTTTATTTTATTTATTTATTTTTATGTGGTGCAGAGGATTGAACCCAGTGCCTCATGCCTACAAGGGCAAAAGCCCACTCTACCACTGAGCCACAACCCCAGCCCAGATATTGTTTCTTTTTAAGATTCTTCTATACCATATACTCTCTAAAAGGCCTAAGTGTCCTTTTGCCTTGGTACCCTGCATATAATAACACTGAATACAGGAATAAATGAATGAAACAGTTATAAAACAGGTCTTTTTTAAAAAGGCTAAAGAAAGTCATTAAGAATTATTATCATAAAAATCAACAGAATACTTTACCYTAATGTGGGTAAAGTATGGACATTGTATAGTGTTTAACAAGTTATTTACTAAGTATCATTTTTCAGGGGATCTTTTCAAAACCAAATAATAACATGTTTTCATAATGTAGCTTCAAAATGCTTAAGAAGGTTCATTCCAAAAAAATTTATTCCCCAAATTCATTACAAAAAGTGCAAATTTCCCCCACACCAGCCTGATATTGAGCTATTGCCCTCTCTAACTATGAAAGAATTAACATGAGGAAATTAACTAAGAATTCTCACTAGGCTTACCCATCCCAGGAACCCAGGGAATAGGGTGCTGAGGAAATGGGCATCCCTATTTCTGAAAAGCCTCAAAAAATAAAACTCCTCAGCCCAGGATGGCTTCTCCTTGCACCTACTTCAGGAAATCCGCCAACCTGAACTACCTGTCCTTTGGCCGTGACCTTCCACTCTGCACTTAGTGCACAGGTCCTGTACATCATCAGTGGGATATTAGTCTTACTCTGGCACGTAGGAATCTCGCAGTACTTCCAGTAGACACCATCCTCATGCTCTGCCACATAGCACCAGGGGCTCACATCTCCATCCGGGTTTCTATTGGGGAAAAGGATACAACTGATAACATTGCTGATGTTTTAAGTTAACTGGCTCATTGCTTTTCTATTTTACAGAGAAAGAATTGCTTTGGGTCCTGGTTATTTCTAATAATTGGCATATATCTCAATGTCCTCTCTTATTAAGAAGGAAAAACAGGTTAATACTACAAGGAGAAGCCTATCCACTCTGACATGTTCGTAAGGCTGGGGAGAAGTGAGCAAAGCTCCAAAAAATTCACCAAGGTATAATGAGGTCAACTGATCACTAAACCAACTGTGCCAGACACTGGGAACACAGAAGGTGGAGGTTCAACAGCTGGGTGAACACAAAGCTAATGGGATGTGAACTGACACAGAATGGCACTTTGGCATTTGGAGGTGTTTTTTTGTTTTTGTTTTGTACTGGGGATTAACCCAGGGTACTTTACACTGAGCTATATTCTCAGTCCTTTTTTTTTTTTCTTTTTAAATAAATACCTTTATTTTACTTATTTATTTATTTAATGACTTTATTTATTTATTTATTTATTTTTATGTGGTGCTGAGGATCGAACCCAGTGCCTCGTACGTGCTAGGCAAGTGCTCTACCGCTGAGTCCCAGCCCCAGCCCCTCAGTCCTTTTTAGTTTTTATTTTGAGACAGGGTCCCACTAAGTTGCTTAGGGTGGCCTTGAACTTGTGATCCTCCTGCCTCAGCCTCCCGAATTGCTTGGATTACAGTTGTACACCACCATGCCTGGCTCCAATAGTATAATATTTAAAAGGTAAAATAAGAATTCACAAAATATAGACCCCACTGGCAAGTTCCCACTAGGAACAAGCTGGTCATCTCACATTTGACAGAAATGGGTCCTATTTCTTACCCCAAACACTGACTACTTAGAAATTCTGAAGAAAACAGTGCCAAGTTTCAGTTAGAACCTGTGATCTTGTCATCCTGGCACAAACTTACGATATAGCAATATTTTTTAAAGATTTATTTATTCTCATTTCTAAATAAGAACAGCTTGGAATAAATGCCCTTTAGGATCTTTTCAATTCAGAGACATCATGTGATGCCGCTGAAGTGGATCAAATAATGGCAAGGACTACTGGACACACAGAGAAGCCTCGCCTCTCTTCACCACTTCCCAAGGTTCTTTTATTTAGACTCAGGATACTGGAAACCTAACGCTCCAGTTAGGCCGGAAATGGGCATAAAGACCCCACTGCTGGGAGCTTTGGAGCAACCCCTATCAAGCTTGAGCGGGATAAGCCTATTGTATGGTCCAAAAGATAAGCTTCCCTGAGGCACAAAGGGTCCCTTTATTTCTTGTGCCCAAAGGCAGGTGCCAGCCCCAACTCTGCTCTTCCCAGTCTCTGCCTTTCCCTCTAATCCAAATATCTCCAGCCCAGCCCAGAGAAGAACATTCCCATCACTTGCCAACTCAGACATCTCAGATGCGATGGGTCTGAAAAGTCACACAAGACAAACATGGTGTCGGGTGACAGCTGAGAAATCAAAGTAGGAGAACTTGTACAAAGCCCTTCTTTAAACAGTATTTCACTGTCATTTTCCTCCCTCCATTCAGTGTTCAGCTTTGATGTAGTATTGGGTAAAGCCCTTAGAAAACAACTGTTTATTATCAATGTCAAAGCCACTCTGAAAGGCATCAGAATAGCTTAAATAAAGAACAAGCAAATTCATCCTTACTTCACTGTAAGTGCTGAAACAAAAGGCCTGGACTCTCTGATGGGATAATAATCAACAATTTCAGCCTCCCTTTTTTGAAGTATAAACTGGTAATTCAGGTCTGGTACATTCCATCAAATCAAAGGAGAGGGTTGCAGCTGGCTGGGGCTCAGGAGAAAGGTGCTCCTGGCCCTCACTGATCTCTTAATGGATATTTACTTGTGTGTTTCTGGAAGGCTGTGAGTAGAGATGGGTACTAATCTGCCAGGGGAAAAAAAAAACACAAAACTTTTTCATATAAATAAACTATAAATTTATTTAATTATAAATTAAGTCTCATTGGAAATTTAAAATTTAACTGAAAGTCAAATTTAAAAACAGGAGCTCTGCTGGGTGTGGTGGCACATGCCTGTAATCACAGCAGTTTGGGAGGCTAGGACAGGAGGATTGCAAGTCAAGGCCAGACTCAGCAACTTGGCAAGGCTCTAAGCAACTGAGTAAGAACCTGTCTCAAAATAAAAAGGGCTAGGGCTGGGGCTGGGGCACAGTGGTTAAGGGCCTCTGGGTTAAATCTCCAGTACCCTAAAATAAAAAACAAAAATAGGAGCTCTTCTGAGAAGACCTGCTTGACAGAAAGCAAGAGAGTAGTAGAATAAACCAAAAGTCTACTACTAAGAGATACTTGAGAGGTTTGGGAGTATATCTCAGTGGTAAAGCCCTGCCATGTCAGAAGCCCTGGGTTCAATCTCCAGCTCACTAGAAGGAGGAGAAACTATAGCAGCAGCAACTAGGCACAGTGTGTCTGTCTCAGCTACACTTGGGACACTAAGGGTTAGGGTCAGGGTTAGCAAGACTTCATCACCAAAAATACAACACAAAACAAACAAGAAAAAGAAAAGGAGATTCGCTGTTCAACGAGATAAGTAACTATGTAAACATAAATAATAAATACTTGTTTCTCTGCCTAAACATCCTTCCCAGCCCAAATCAACTATTCCTATGAATAGCAAATTACGGGAAGGTAATATGCCAGAAATAGAGAGTGACTAATTTTTTTATTTATGCAAGAAATTAAATATGTACAACTTTGAAAATAAAATGAAACAATTGTTCAGTGAACATATGTAACTTAAAATACAAAGATAGCAAATTGGGAGGTAGCACATGTACAATAGTAGGACTGGGTGGGGAGGGTTTCAAGGAAAGAGGTAAAATGGGAGACTTTATCTAAGCGACAGATATCTGTGATTTTGGAACAAATTTTAATACTTCCATAGTAACAAATGAAAAAATAAAGCAGCAGCAACTATGGGGGGATGGTCTTTGGACATAAGCTAAGACAGAGGTGATGGCAAGAGCTGAGGGGCAATATGAAGAAAACACGGACCGCAGGCCTGGGTACGCCAGGCAACCACGAGGGCCCTAGAGTGTCAGCAAAGGCACATGAGGGCAGAGGTAAACAGCGTGGCCCCTGCAATGCAGGAACACAGGTATTGGTTCAGCTGGGTCAACAGGGCCATATGATTGAGAGGCCAACATACTTGCAGAACCTGGGACACAGAGTGTAGCTCAGCAATCATTTTCCCCTGGCCTCATGGCTCAAGAGGCAGCCTTTGCACCTGTCCTAATAATGATTAAATTCAACACATTGCTGAACCATGAGTCATGTAATCAGGATCTTGGGGGTAAGTAGCTAAAAGATACAACCAAAGGTGTTAAGAATCTTTGCTCTGGTCCCTACATAACAGTGATTCTTATCTTATTTTCATCGCAGATAGCTTGGAGAACCTGATCAAAGCCAAGGATCATCTCCCCAGGAGATCATGAAAACACATCTGAAGCACAATGGATGTGAAATCCAGAGCTCTTGCTAGCCAGGCATGGTGGCACACACCCATAGCCCCGCTACTTGGGAGGGGGAGGCTGAGGCAGAAACCAGCCTCGGCAACACAGCCAAACCCCATCTGCAGGTGTGTGTGTAGTGGGGAGATGACGCCACATGACCCTTGCTAAAGTCAGACAGGAGATGAAAAGTAAAGAAACACCTTAGTCTACTGAAAAGGAATAAAGAGCACAAATCCGATGGATATAGCTGCTCCCAAGTTATCCTTGTCTGGCTGGCAGTCGGCTTCTCCTGCTAAGAAGCAGAGGGAGGTTCGGGTCCTAGACAGTCTGAATAGTACATTCTCACCAGCCTCAGAAGCTTTGCTGTCTGTGAATTGTCCCCTGGTAGCCAACTAGGAAAACCCTCCCAAAGTGACAAGTTGACAGGTTAGTGATCAGACAGGACAGCAGTGCTCTAAAAGCCAGTAAATATCAAAGCAATTAGGTTGAAAATAGTCACAGATTATTTGTGTGTGTGTGCGCGCGCGCGCGCGCGCATGCGTGTGTCTGTCTGTCTGTCTGTCTATGGTGTGGGAAGATTTAGAAAATCGTGACAGGAAAGGTTTTCTGAGTTGGCTCAAAGGAAGCAAGAACACTTTCCTTAGCATGAGCAGGGTTAGAACAAGAGATAAAAGACTTATCTCTACAGTCCCGGGCCCCTTCTTACCTGCAGTAGTTATGCTCGCCCAGGCCGCCCTCCCCATTGGGGTATTTCAGAGTGTTGTACGGGTGCTGGAAAGTCTCGTTCCAGAACAGACACGGCTTGCCACCTTGCAGTGCTGTCCAGTTCTGTGTTCCCCTATAATCGGCACCATTGGCTGTGAAACACTCTAGAGAAAGAAAAGACAGAGCAGACTAATTTCCTGGCAACATTTATAGTCTACTCCCTCTCTGGTTGATGTTTTTTATCTGTTTTGTTTGGACCAAACTGGAAATGAAGAGTGCTTTGTTAGATCCTGAACACTCCACAGTTAACAGTGCTAGAGCCGAGTAAATCTGAAAGAAGGTCCCTGGAAATGCTAGRCTAATCTTGGCACTAGCTTGTTGGGACACTAGGACATTTTCCCCTAAAGTATACAGATCCTATCTAGGATATAAACAGGAAGCTGAGATGTACTGAAGCCTATAAAGTGAACCAGGAAACCCCCAAATCTGGGAACAGTTGGTAACAGCCATGCCTGTAGAATTCTGGGTACTYGGAGGGGGTCATTGCTCTCGCCAGTGTCTCTGTGTGGTAACTAGAACCAGGTCACCAGCTGTAACTGAGCTCTTCTCCCCTACAGTCTAAAAGGCTGCACTGACACTTGGATTTAATAAGACCATCGGATACAGCAATGCTTTGGAATCCCAATCACACAAATCTGGGACTGACTCACATTCCCTGATAATGAGGAACAGTCCTCCCCATGCTGTCTGGAGATAGGTGCAACAAAACAGGCAGTGGGCCCGAGCAAGGAAAGACCAGAGGGGCATCTTCTCTCACCTCCTTCTGAAAGTCTTTCCTATAGGATGCACAGAAAGTAGTCTCAGGCCCCATTTCATAACGTGGCAAATCCTTGCAGGTGCAATCATGTGCTTCTAAAATCTGCTTGTCAGACTCTGGGGGGATGGGAACTGAGGCTGACAGGCTTCCACCCACATATTGTATGCATTAAACTCACAGAGGTTCATGAGAAAGGCACAGTACAAAGAGCGATTTTTTAAAATTAACTTAGTTGAAACTGACAGAGAGAAGCACTTCAAACACTTCTCCAAGATGTATCACTAGAAACCTGACAGTCTGGGGGAGTTACCCTAGCATTCTTAGCTTTCCTTCTTTCCTTCTTCTGGCATGCAGTGACCTGTAACTTCCGATCCTAAGGACTCTGAACAATGCCTCCTGTTGGTGAGGGTACATGCCTACCCATGTCTATGCAGCGTGTGGACGACATGAGCACACTGATATTATGGAATGTATTTCCTTTTTTAAAAATATTTTTTTTAGTTGTAGTTGAACAAAATACCTTTATTTTATTTACATTTTTTTATGTGGTGCTGAGGATCAAACCCAGCGCCTTGCACGTGCTAAGCAAGCACTCTACTGCTGAGCCACAACCCCAGCCCCTGGAATGTATTTCTTTTAATATTTAAAAACTATCCACACATCTCCCCTTCAGTTTCCCCTTCCTCCCACCATGCAGGACCTGTGTTTTGTCTGGAATGGCAGAATTTTATGGATAGCCAAAAGAATCTGGAATCTAGGCTACATGGAAAGCATCAGCAATTTAATCAAGTTTGGTGCAACACTCAGATGTTACACTAAGTGGGACTCGTCGTGTACCATGACAGCCAGGCCTCCACAGAGTGTGCATAGCTAAGTTCAAAGGTAACTGAAGGAGGCAGCTCAGCACAGCACAGCAAACGCTAACCAAGAGGCTCAGCTTTGGCTTCTTCTTGGGGACTTGCTGACCAGCTGTGAAACTTTGGACTAATCACTGTCATCCACWTCGGCTCTGATATTTACACAGTGCTTTACTGTGTGCCAAGCTCCATTCTAGGAGCTTTACAGATGAAGACTCACCACCAGCCCAGTAGAAAGGGACCCTTCAGTGACTCCATTTACAAAGGAGGCAAGTGGATACCCACCCTACACTACCTCTAGCAGAACCCTCTTGAGTCTGCCTACTCTCCATCCTCTCCCTCCCCACGCTCCCCATTCACCTATAAGTCCTCGTACCTTGAAACTGCCGCCTCCCCTCTACCTTCAGTGCCACTGTTTTAGTCCCACTTGCCACAGAACTGTCTAGGCCTCACAATTTCCCCCTTTTGTTCTTCCACATTCTATTCTCCAGACAGAACTCAAATATATCAGGGGAACAAAAGCCCTTGGAACAAACCCCAACTCTTCACGGTGTCTTCAGGGCCTGTGTGATGTGGCCCCAGCCCCTTCTTCCCCTGGCACCGAGGTTTCCCTTAGTCCCTGGCCATGCTCCAGCCACACTGGTCTGCTTTTAATTCTGTGAACACACCACGCTATTTCCTGCCTGAAATGTTCTTCCTCTAATACTTCCTGTTGCAGACTAAATGTCACCTCCTCAGAAAGCCCTTCCATCATCTCCACTGATCTTTTCCTGCCCTTTGTTTAGAGCACTTATTATCACTAGGAATATAAGATCAGGGGCTGGGGTTGTGGCTCAGAGGTAGAGAGGCAAGCGCCTAGCACGTGTGAGGCCCTGGGTTCTATCTCCAGCACCACATAAAAAATAAATAAAAAAAATATGGGCTGGGGATGTGGCTCAAGCGGTAGCGCGCTCGCCTGGTATGCGTGCGGCCCAGGTTCGATCCTCAGCACCACATACCAACAAAGATGTTGTGTCCGCCAAGAACTAAAAAAAATAAATATTAAAAATTCTCTCTCACTCTCTCTTAAATAAATAAATAAATAAATAAATAAATAAAATAA